TGTACATTAGAACTGCCCAATTATCATTGAGTAATCGTACAGAGCCTGCTAGTTCTAAACTGTCAGTTTAAGGAGATTATAAAAAGTTAGCCTTCTGTAACGAATAGGTGATACTAAACACTGCTCTATAACACTCATTCGCAAAAACTCGCAGCGGTATGTGGAATGTGAATAGACTGGCTATGCAGTAGTTTTTTCGTGTGTTCGCTATGCCACTTTTTATGGTCAAGTAAAATAGTTAATTGAAACAATTCGATTGTCTGTTAATAATTAACTTAGCATTAATAGGATTAAAGAGTGGCTCGCACACGAACGGGAGAAAAAAGGTAAAGAGAGACTGGAACGAGCTAAAGAGCCCATTAGGAAAAAGTGAAAGTGTCATTTCGCAGCGGGCGGCCCAGACTCGAAGGCAGCCCTTGCCATTTGAATACAACGGTATGTATGGTAAGAAAGGACATATGTTCTTAATTCTGTCTTTTAGATCGTTAGAATCATCTTACCTTGTAATTTGTGTTTTTTTTTTCTTTCGAGCCATTTCGAAGTGGTATTTGCCAGCAAATTTCTACTTACACTTCAAAGTGAAATAAATGAGGGCTGGCCACTCTTTACATTCTATAAATTCCATAATTTTCAAAAATGTCTCCCTACAGGCACCAAAATTGTCATTATCTGATCTGCCGATAAAATTGTCTCTCTGTTCGATACTTCTAGAGTTCAGGTTTCATCGGTTTCATCAGAATTACAATTGTGAAGCGCCTGCTTTCAAACCATTTGTCTTTCCCCCAGAGGCGTAGCGCTGCCGTCGTAGGCAAGAAAATACATCAAGTAAAAGTTTATTCACGGTAATTTCGAAGGCGTTGCAAATAGCAGAATTTTTTTAAAATTCTATTTATTTCTGAATTCTCCTTGGAAATTCAATTTCTATCACCTTAATAGAACCTTGGTAGCCTGCGGGCGTTTTCATGTAAAAATCATGATGAATCAGTATATCACAGTTCAAGGGAAAATGGATTACTTAATTCCTCAAGCGACTCCACAGATCGACAAAAATCGAAGAGATCGACAGAAATGTTGATTCGCCTTCTCAGCGCATGCCATGGAAGAACTGCTGAGCGATTCCCAGCTAACAGCTCTCCCATGCAGTTGTGTGCTTTGTACCCACCTAGGCAGTATAGGGGATCTATGATACATGCCATGCCTCGGCCATGAGCCACTACCCGGGTGATATATGACTGTGTGCATGCGTTAGGAACAGGATGGGCCGTGGATTGATGCATGTATATGTGTATCACTAGCTCTTGAGTTTGTCGCCTTACTATATATCGGCTAGCCGGATGGCGCATCGCGCAGAATGCCTGAACATCATTAATTATTCATAGTCATCGACGCGGCAAATTTGAATGCGAGCGCGCTTTGACTTGTAGCCCAGAATTAGAAGAGAAAGGACCCAAATTGGTCAAGTAAAACATGCTTTTCTCTTTTTCAGAGTTGTAATCTTAACTTTCACGGAAAGCAATGATGTATCAACACTTTAAGCCTTAAACGAAGGAATATAGGTAAGTATAAAGACTGTTTTTTAAACTTGAAAATTCAGAAAAATCGGTCGTTTGCAGTATGGACGCCACTTTTGACAGAGATTTTCTGAACATTTTCACCAGCTTTCATATTTTCACACGCGGTAAAAGAAAGATGGGACCTTTCTGAACAGAATCCGTTTTAATTTTCAAAATCCGTAAACGAGAACCACTGTTCTTTCGATTTGAAAACTGCTAGTGGTTGCTGAGTTTGAAAATGGTGCACTTTGGGCGAGTGGGCTATTGTTTTAAGTCCACGACTGAATAAGAATGGTTGTCAAGACTGACACAATGCCCATTCAAGAAAATCACTCAATTGTAAAATGGTCCAGGGTAGCCGCGAACTTTTAAACTGATCGCGTTGCTTCAGCTGGTTCATTGCACCTGCGCCCGACCAAACCTTGCAATGAACTTGGAAAAAACCCTATTGCAAAAACTGAACTTACTTACCCGCCATTTTGGTTGAATTGCTTTTGGGGGT